CCTCTGTACTGTATTTTCTCATGCCTAAGACTTCAACAAAAGCCAGTAATGAAAGTTGGAGGGAGGTGCACCCTTGTTTCTCCTTGAGGAGTGCTTGCTGGTATTGGCCTCCCTGGATCCCTCAGGTCAGTGCAAATGGACTGAATAGGTGTTATGCATTTGTGTGGAGATGCACCAACACAAACCCACAAATTCTTCATGTCAGATATTCCACCTGCCTGCTCTGGCTTTTCAGGGAAGGCTGAAGCTATTGATAATAACAGGAAGCAGACTTCTGACTGCATTTTCTCTACTTGACCCCTAGCACACAACAGGAATTGCTGGTTGCCAAGTAGCCAGGTCCAGGTGACATCAGGTAGGCCCAAGAGCACAGGCAGTTGGAATATAAAAATTTTGGTTTTGGGGCAGCAACTGTGGCTCAAAGGAGTAGGGCACTGGCCCCATATGCCAGAGGTGGTGGGTTCAAACCCAGCACCAGCCAAAAACTGCAACAAAAAAAAAATTAAAAATTTTGGTTTTCTCTAAGATGAAAATATCTCTTTGTTTTCCCTTACCTGGCTCTTCCAGCCCATCCCTCCTTTCCCTCTTGCCAACTTCACCCCATCCTCAGACAGTCCCTCCCCTCACTGCCCTTTTCAAAATGGCACTCTTCAGCCTCACCATGTATCAAGCCCAGCCCTCTCACCTGTCATAGCTCTTAGTACTGCATAATTCCCTCAAGATCCCCTCAAACTCATTTGAGAAGGACAGTATCAACATTCTGGGAAACCCATGCAAACACTCAAATTATTTATACCTTACTGGTCCTCAGAGGCTAAAGAATATCATTGAACTATGGCTCTGAATGTTTTTTTTATTATTATTTTTTATTTTGGTGGGGGTGGGGTGGGGACAGGGTATTGCTCAGTTGCCCAGGGTAGAGTGCAGTGGCATCATCATACCTCACAGTAGCCTTGAACTCCTGGGCTCAAGCAATCTCCTGTCTTCAGCTTCTCAAAGTGCTAGGATTACAGACATAGCCACCACACCCAGCCTGCTGGGAATGTTTATGATCATCTACAAATCAAACCCTTTTGAGAATGCACCCCCAACACATGTATATTTGCTTGTTTGTCATATGCATGTGCTAATTTGAACTTTACAAAACACACACAAAAATAAACTTTTAAGGCCAGGTGTGGTAGTTCACGCCTGTAACCCTAGCCCTCTAGGAGGCTGAGGTGGGTGGATTGCCTGAGCTCACAAGTTCCAGACCAGCCTGAGCAAGAGCTAGACCCTGTCTCTAAAAATAGTCAGGTGTTCCAGGCATCTATAGTCCCAGCTACTCGGGAAGCTGAGGCAAGAGAATCACTTAGCCCAAGAGTTTGAGGTTGTTGGCAGTGCCTATAGCTCAGTGGATAGGGCACCAGCCACATACACCCAGGCTGGCAGGTTCGAACCCAGCCTGGGCCAGCTAAAACAATGACAACTGCAACAACAACAAAAAATAAAATAATATAGCCGGGCGTTGTGACAGGCATCTGTAGTCCCAGCTACTTGGGAGGCTGAGGCAAGAGACTCACTTAGACCAAGAGTTTGAGGTTGCTGTGAGTTGTGACACCATGGCACTCAACCGCAGGACGACTGAGACTCTGTCTCCAAAAAAATAAAAATAATAAACTTTTAAAATAAGTATTTTAAAATAAATTTAAATGGGCGGCGCCTGTGGCTCAGTGAGTAGGAGGCCAGCCCCATATACTGAGGGTGGTGGGTTCAAACCGGGCCCCAGCCAAACTGCAACAAAAAAATAGCCGGGCGTTGTGGCGGGTGCCTGTGGTCCCAGCTACTCGGGAGTCCGAGGCAAGAGAATCGCCTAGGCCCGGGAGTTGGAGGTTACTGTGAGCTGTGACGTCACAGCACTCTATCAAGGACAACCAAAAAAAAAAAAACTTTCCCTCATTTAAAAATAAATTTAAATGTAAATAAATGTATTCATAAAACTATTACAATTATTAATTTGAACAATTAAAGAGATGGTCTAGTTTTTCTTTTTTTCTTTTTTTTTTTTTCACATCCACAACAATGTGTCTTGTGCACCTTCCAGGGACAAGTACCTCCGACTTTGAACACTGGTCGTGGCAAGAGGTTCTTTCAGAGCAGTACATACTGATTCCAGCCGTCCCAGCAACCTTGGGAACACACAAATCCCTTTAATTCTGCACTGGTTTACTTCCAACTTTCCTTGCTACACTCTCCCACCACCATTTTTTCCACCCTTCAGCCTAATGTTTCCGTATCTTTTACCGAGAAGCCTCCGAACCTTGCTGGTTCAGCCAAAATAGTTTTGAAAGCTGGACAAGTTCAATTAATGTTCTACAGCAAGAAAACAGGTGCTCGCTCAATGCATGAAGGAAAGGGGAAACTCGGCAAAGCCTGGGGTTCAGGTCGGTCGGACTTGGTCCTCGAGCCTCGGGACTGGACAACCTGAGCTGTATTGTGGCTACAGGCGTCCCAACTCTGCTAACGGCTAACTTGTGTTCCATTGCACCCAGAGATCGCAGCCCCTCCACGGAGCGTGTCACCCTAGCGACGATAAAAGCTGGGTCAGATCCCCAGCACATGGGCGGGACAAGTGAGCGTCCAGCTGCAAGCAGCTGCAATCCGGGAAACCGCCCGCACCGCAAGCCTTCGCCGGTTAATCCATACAAGTTACGTCACATCCGGTTGGACCAGGCGCGGCTGCCAGAGGTGAACACGCCGCCATGGGAGGGCGGGGTCCTGAGGCGGGGGCGGGGCGGGGCCTCGGCGGGGCGGGGCGGGGATTCAGCGGGTGGGGCGGGGCCTCAGCTGGCAGAGCTAGCAGGCGTTTGCCGGCGGTCAGTCGCTGGCTCGTAGCTCAGCGGCCGCAGTGGCGGGTGAGATCCTCCGGCCGGTAAGGAAAGTGCAGAGACAGCTTCTGACCCCGGCCCTGCTCCACGATTGCCCACTTGGGCGCTTGGGCCAAGTGGGCCCGCAGGGAAGGGCAGCCGCCTCGCAATCGCGAGGCCTGGCTTGGCCGCAGGGCCCAAGTGGCGTAAGGGCCCCCCTCCTGCGACCCCGAGACCACCCGAGCCAGTCGCCGGCCTATAGCCTGTAGGGCGGCGGGGCGCCCTTCCTTCATAACCTCCTGAGTTCGTGCCTGAGCTTTGCTTGTGACCCCTCCGACAACTTCCAGACTCCCAGGTAGGGAGGAGCCCCATACTTGGCCTGTGAGGAAAAGGCATCTGGGCTGGTATTCCCTTCCCTGCCTTGGGGGACATCTGCTCAAACTCTTCTTTCAAGCAGAAATGGTGTGGGATCTGGGTTAAACCCTTATTGCAGGGATTCTAAGCCACCAGCCCTACTGGAAAGATGGGGCATGAGATAGATGGCCCTCCACCTTTCCCTTCTGACTGGTTCACACTACACTGGTGGCTTCAGTCCTGGTGCCTTCATCTTTTCCCCTCCACTTCGCCTCGCCTACTCCACTCTCCGCTCTGGTTTTCCTGCCTACCTCTTCAGTCATAAACTACAAGGCTGGACCGAGGCCTCCAGGGTGAGTGACCAAAACTCCAAGTCAGCAGAGGCCATGTCATTCTGGGGTGGGGTGGGGGAGATTTTCCCAGGGATGGGCTTTTGCTTACCCTGCCCTCCACCCTCCACTGCCCCTTCTCCACAGTCTCAGATGGGAGGAGGCCAGGGCCAAATATGGATAGGATCTAGGAAGGCAGGGGCCTCTTCCAGGACTGGGACACTTATAGGGATGAGGCAACCAACAGTAGTGTTGTAAAACTGCTGTGTCCCCATCCTGGTTGCCCCAGTTCTAGCAAATGATGTGATACTAGGATGGTGGCTGCCAAAAATTGAGAAATGGAAGGAGGCAAACCTCCTTTCACCCTGAGGCACTGCCATCCCCTAGAAACACTCATAGTCCCACTGGAAATAATGAGGCTGTGATAAAGGCACATGTGGGCATGGGGAGGAGCCCCTGGACTCTAAGAAGAGACTCTCAGATGTTCTGCAGCAGCTCTAGGAGCTCAAATTCTGAGACTGCTAGATAAGTGGGTGATCGGGCAGAAGGAGAAGCCCCAGCGGACATGTGGCTCTATTTATCTTACTCTTACTGCCCCTTTTGGCAACTTCCCTGGGGAGGGGATGCCTGATTCTCACTAGGACTCCCATCTTGTCACTATGAGGCAGGTATGGTAGGCCAAGTAGTGACAGCAGCTTTGTTCCCAACTCTTCGTCAGGACAGACATCAGCCCCTGGGGTCTTGGGACCAATGATCACACACTGTGCCACTTTGCCAACAGCTTTGTGTCTGGAAGATTAAACTCAACCTCCCTAATATACTCTCCGAAGTACTCTTAGATATGTCCTAAGCCAGTGTTAACCATCAGTACTGTTTGTTTTCATCTATCTGATGTCATAGTCATCCCTGGGAAGCCTCTGGAAGATTTCATCCCTACTATGGTATCACTGCATCCTTACTGTGGCTGCATCGTGATGGCAGTGGGAAATAGGCTAGTGGTAACAGGACTGTGGGTGGATCTCCTGAATCCCTTGGTACCAGGAGATTTCTGTGAGGTGGGCAAGCCCGGGGAAATCAGCAAGTATCAGCAGGTTGAATGTGAACTTCTCTCTCCAGGTGGCCCCTCTGAACAAGAGATAGGAAACTTGAGGTGCTGAGAGAGAAGACAGCCAAATGGCATTCAAAGGCCAGCACTAACCATTGCCTCACCATTCCGAAGCTTGGAGTGAGGGGGCCTGCTAAGTCTTTTAGTAATGGGCTTCCAGATCCCCATGCTCCTGGTCTCCGAACTGATCACCCTCACCAGTGTCTCTGTGTCCCTTGTGTCCTCAGGGAGAGCTCTGCCATCAAGGAAGACAGCACAGAAGGACCCACCCATGGACCCTTTCCTGGACAACCCGGCAGCACCAGTACGGGTGCTCTTCTAAGTCACAGAGAACCTGGGGACATCATCCATCCTTTGGAAAGAGTCATGGTGTTAAGGAGGATCAGGGCCAGTTCCAAGCACTGGCCTAGCCTGAGAAGCAGGGTTGGCCATATAGACCCCCTAGGCATGCTCAGAGCTTCCCTGCTGCTCATCAACATGACTTGGGGGGCCCAAGGGACAGCCAGTGCTAACCTCAGCAGAGCTCTGGGCCACACTATGCCACTGACAGGAGGCCGCTACTTGAGCATTGGGGATGGCTCTGTGATGGAGTTTGAGTTTCCTGAAGAGAGTGAGGGCATCATCGTGATCTCAAGCCAGTACCCAATCCAGGCCAATGGGATGGGCCCTGGCCCCACACTGAGAGTCACATCCCTAGACACAGAGGTGCTGGCCATCAAGAATGTGAGTGCCATAACATGGGGTGGTGGGCGTGGCTTTGTGGTAAGCATCCACTCAGGCCTGCCTGGGTTGGCCCCACTCCACATCCAGCTCATGGACCCCCACAAGGCCCCACCCAAGCTGATTGAGGAGCGGAGAGATTTCTGCATCAAGGTCTCACCTGCTGAAGACACCTCTGCAACACTCAGCACCAACCTGGCCCACTTTTCAGAGAACCCAATACTCTACCTGCTCCTGCCTCTTATCTTTGTCAACAAGTGTTCATTTGGGTGCAAAGTGGAATTCGAAGTTCTGAAGGGACTTGTGCAGAGCCCCCAGCCCATGCTGCTGGGCCTCCTAGGCCAGTTTCTGGTCATGCCCTTCTATGCTTTCCTGATGGCCAAGGTCTTCATGCTGCCCAAAGCCTTGGCTCTGGGCCTCATCATCACCTGCTCATCACCTGGGGGCGGTGGGAGCTACCTCTACAGCCTCCTTCTTGGAGGGGATGTTACCCTGGCAATCTCCATGACTTTTATCTCAACAGTGGCTGCCACCGGTTTCCTACCACTATCCTCAGCGATCTATAGCCGTCTGCTCAGCATCCATGAAACACTCCATGTGCCCATCTCCAAGATCCTGGGGACCCTGCTATTCATCGCCATCCCCATAGCAGCGGGTGTTTTGATCAAGTCCAAGCTCCCCAAGTTCTCCCAGCTGCTGCTTCAGGTCATCAAGCCCTTCAGCTTTGTGCTCCTCTTGGGTGGCCTTTTCCTGGCCTACCGCATGGGAGTCTTCATCCTGGCAGGTGTCAGGCTACCCATTGTACTGGTGGGCCTCACAGTGCCCTTGGTTGGCCTCTTGGTGGGCTACTGTCTGGCCACATGCCTGAAACTGCCAGTGGCCCAGCGGCGGACAGTCAGCATTGAGGTAGGGGTGCAAAACAGTCTGATGGCCTTGGCCATGCTCCAGCTGTCCCTCCGCCGCCTCCAAGCTGACTATGCCTCCCAGGCCCCCTTCATTGTGGCACTGAGTGGCACCTCTGAGATGCTGGCCTTGGTCATTGGCCACTTCATCTATAGTAGCCTGTTTCCAGTTCCTTGACAACTCTGGGTCAAGATTGCATCATCCCCCAGCCCCCACACTCCACCCACTGTCCCCACAGTTCTTGTGTACCAAAGGCCTTTAGTTCTCATGCACTATGCACTCAGAAAAAATCCAAGCTTATTTTTTTTACTGATTTTTTATTCTCCAGCTTTCAGTGCCAAAGAGGCCATGCTGAGTTAAGTAGGTGGGCACTGCCCAGAAAATATATTTCAATAAAAGAGAGAAGCAGGCTTGAGTCCCTTCCAATCTTTGCCCTTTGGGGCCTGGGAGTGGGGGTAGGAAGAGTGTGCCTGGCAGAACCCCTGCCTCCCATCGTCGGCCCGGTCAGGTGTGGGGCAGGGTGGAGGACCAACTTATGTGGCACAGTGACCCCTGGGAATGCTTTATAAGCCCACACCCCATGAGAGGTGGGCCTCTCTTTTTAGAATGAGCAGTGGGAGCATGAGAGCAGAAGCCTGCCTCCCCTGCCTCCTTCCCAGCTCACTTGGGGTTTTGCAGCTAGACTGGAAAGGAGGAGGCAGAAAGCAAGCAGGCAGTGGGGCAAGCTTGGCAGGGATGGGCTGCTGGCGGACTTACTGAGATACAGAGAACCAGGGTTTGCCTGCTCCACCAGTGAGGTAGGAAGTTAGGGTGGGCCAGGCAGTCCGCAGGGGCGAGCGTACTTTCTGGTCCTTCTTTCTCCCATGCCCCAGTTGCCAGATGAAACAGACCTGGCGCGACTCTCCTCTTTCTGGTCCCAGAAGACTGAACCAGCCACTTCCCTGCGCTGTGGCTTTGGCTGGGGATTCACTAGCTGGGCGGTCCCAGTTCGAATTCGAGGTGGAACCCTGAAGAGACTCCTCCTCCTGGGCGCGGCTAGGGGCGGGAGTGGGCGTGGCTGTGGGAGGACACGCCCCTCTTGCCGTTTCCGGGCGCGGCAGGCGGTTCCGGCGCGTGCCCAGGACAGCGGCGGCGCGCGGCGGCGGGGGGCGGTTAGGTTGCGCGCCGGCCCTGGTGGACGCCGGCGCAGCCGCCATGCAGCTGACGGTGAAGGCGCTCCAGGGCCGCGAGTGCAGCCTGCAGGTAGGGTCCCCAGACCTGAGTCATTGTGGGCGGCTCGCTCATTCAGCCCCTCCCGGCACAGGACCGAGCAGGGGCTGAGGGCGGGAAGGGGCGAGCGGGCGGGTGAGGCCAGGAGAACTGCCTGTAGAAGAGGAAGCGAGAGCTTGGTCGCCCAGGGGCTGCGGGCTCAACCCCTGCCTCCCACCCTTGGCTCGGTCAGGTGCGGGAGGACGAGTTGGTGTCCACACTGAAGCAGCTGGTCTCAGAGAAGCTGAACGTCCCCGTGCGCCAGCAGCGGCTGCTGTTCAAGGGCAAGGCCCTGGCAGGTAACCAGACAGAGGAGATGCCCAGGTAGCCCCGCAGGAAGTCGGAGGATGGGGTGTAAAGGCCGAACTTGGGCAGCAGTGTGATGGGTTGAGGTGCTGGCTCCTGGCACCAACTGCCACCAGACCGTAGGGGAGGTGGCTGAATCCACCACAGCCAGATGCCACAGTGCTCAGCCAGCTCCCCCAAGCAGCGTCGCTGCCTGGGCAACCCCCGCAGCCATAGGTAAAAAACCCCATCAGTTTCTCTTTGGCAGATGGGAAACGACTCTCTGATTATAGCATCGGGCCCAATTCCAAGCTCAACCTAGTGGTCAAACCCCTGGAGAAGGTGTTACTGGAAGAAGGCACTGCCCAGAGACTGACTAACTCCCCACCCCTGCACGTCTGGCAGCTAATCTCTAAAGTCTTGGCACGCCACTTCAGTGCAGCGGATGCCAGCAGGGTCCTGGAACAACTACAGAGGGTGAGAAGGGCAACTCTGGACATCCACTCCAGTCCCAGCTGCTCCCAAGCCCCTGCCTCTGTCACAGTGTACCGTCCCCCACTGGCACCCCTGAATTTTCCTGGCCTTCTTTCCTCAGGATTATGAGAGGTCCCTGAGCCGCCTGACGCTGGATGACATCGAACGCTTGGCCAGCCGCTTTCTGCACCCTGAAGTGACTGAGGCTATGGAGAAGAAGTTCTCTAAATAGCATTCTTGGAATATGGGGAGGAGCCCAAGGGCAGGCCACAGCTGCATGTTACATTAAATGTGTTCTCATGTTGCAGTTTGGCTCATAATAATAATAATAATATGCTGGCATGTTCCCAGCTCTTGCTACCTGCTAGGCACCACTCAAAGTACTTGACCTGGGTTTACTCCCATACCCATGGAAGAGGTGAGACAGCACAGCAGAGGCACCTAACTATGAAGTAGGGAAGCCAGTATCAGAGTTCAGCCAGCTTCTTGAAGTGCCTCAGGGTGAGGAGTTAAAGGGGGCTGCTTGGAGGGATGGGCTATAGTATTTTGCATTTGTCCCACCAAGAATAAACACCAAAGTGACTCCCTCCCAAGCCAGAAAGGGGAAGCAGCTGTCACCTGATCTCCAGTGGTCTGACATAGCCCTCAGCTAACCTCCACAGGAGGCCAAGTGACAGCCAGCCCAGGGCCTCCTCAGCTGCTGCAATCAGTGTGTGTTTGACAAATGGAAAAGCAGGTTGGGGGCTGAGAAGTCACAATGTCACCCCAGCTCTGATGTAACTTCAGGCAAATCCCTGTGTCCCAAGCATTGACTCTATACAGTGAGGGTCACTCCTCTGACCTGAGTCAATGTCTTTCATCCTTACCCCAAACCAGCATGGGGAGTTTCTGCAGTGATTCTCCCTCTTGTGTTCAGTAAGCAAACTGAAGCCAAAAGTGAAGCAATAGCCAATTGTGGCCTAGAGATGAGGTATCCTGGCCCTTGGTGACACAGCTCTTCTCTGGGTGCACCGTCTGCTTGTCTCCTCTTCTTGAAAGCAGATGGCTCTCATTTATTAGGGCTGACAGGGGACTTAGAAAAGCACTGTCAGAGCTAGAGGACTGGGCCGAGGCTTTCATGCCTAGTACTCACCCATAGCATGGAAGATGGACACTTCCCCTGCCACCTGTATACAGGGACTCCCTTCATTGCCTGAGAGGAAACCTTGAGGTACCAGGGAGGTGGCACTGGTTCCTCCTTTACCCTGCCCTGCATGGGCACTAGAGGTCATCTAAGCACCTGCTCCTTGGAGGAGGGCCCCTATGGGCAGTAGAGGCTGGAAGGAAGCAATGTACAGGACAGCACTCCAGCCCCTCCACCTTCACCAAGGGAACTGCTCTCAGTGTGGTCAGGGCTGCACCTATACTCCTTGCCTAGGGCCTCCTTGGGCCTTGAGGGGGGAACACTGGGTCCCTGGGCTAGAAAGATAGCGGCCCAGTGGGTAAAGGCTTTGAAGGGCAAACAAAAGCCCCAGGTCCTCCCTTAGAGCTCTGAAGCTGGACCCAGCAGAGACCAGCTTCGGAGCATGTGTGTGGTCTGGCAACTCAGAGATAAACTACAAGTACTCTCACTTATGTTGAATGAGGAAATTTATTTTGAGACAGAGTCTCACTATGTCACCCTTGGTAGAGTGCTGTCACAGCAACCTCAAATTCTTTGGCTTATGCAATTCTCTTGCCTCAGCCTCCCAAGTAGCTGGGACTACAGGTACCTGCCACAATGCCTGGCCAGTTTTTGGTTGTAGTTGTTCGGCAGGCCAGGGCTGGGTTTGAACCCACCAGCTCTGGTGCATGTGGCTGGTGTCCTAGCTGCTTGAGCTACAGGCACCAAGCCTATTTTGAGAACTTTAAAGGTGAATCTGAGACTGACTTATATCCAAAAAGAACCATATTAACTAGGCTGCTTTTGTTTTGCAATAATTGGTTTAACAATAAAGGAACTTGGTTTAATCAGTAAAGGATGTTTATTGGCTTATGAAACCGAAAAGTCCAGTGATACTGTTAGTGGATGAGCAATTTCAGCAGATACCCAGTTTATTCCTGCCTCCCTGTGTTCTCCATATCTGCCTCGTCCCAGACCATCACCCCTGACGGTCAAAAGATAGCTGCCTACAGCTTGTGTGCAATCCCTCTCTTGCTGCCAGAGGTGCACCTTCTCTGTAGTGTAGCTTCTGTCTCAGATGCTTCCAGCAAATAAATGCTATTATCTCATTGGTCAGAACTGGCTTGTGTGTCCCATCATTTGGGTTGGCATGGGGGAGGGGTTATTCCCCATCAGGACTGACTCTATGGAGCTATGTATGGGGACAGTTTCCCTGGATATACTTGGGCTGGACAAGGGATGGGGAGGTTCCACGGGAGGGCTGAATGGTGGCCACAAACAGCAACTGTTCATTACAGGGGACATGCATGTCTTAGAAAGATCAGGACCACCGTAGAGGTAGTGAAGGAGGGAGAGCTGCAGTGGGGAGTCGAGGCAGGAGCTCAGACAAGGGGAAGCATTTTCTGAGGCTTGCCCCAGGCCAGGGCCCTGTGCTGCACGTTTTCATTTAAACCTCCAACAGGGATTCATCATCATTTGACCTGTCCTAGGGTTGGTTTTTAAATCTCTTTTGCCAATCCTCCCAGCTCCAGGGTGACAGGCTGGAGGCCATGTGGTTAAGAAATGCATCCAGCCGGTGGAATTGGCAGCCTGTGCAGTGAGGATTGTTAAAGGCAGGAAGCCCTTTCTATGCAGAGCTCAGATCTCATTTTTCGGCATTGCTCAAATGCCATCAGCTGGGAAGTGGAGGATCCAGGACTTGAACTCAGGCCTGGCCCAATTCCCAAGCTGTTGTAACAATGGTGCTGTGCAGCCTTCAATGATGTTGAAGAGTTGTCTATGGACAGAAAGTCCTGAAAGCTGCGAGGAGGAGGAGGTAGCTTCCTAGAGAATGTGTGGCATTAAAAATGGGGATACAGGGCAGCCTGTGGCTCAGTGAGTAGGGCACTGGCCCCATATACCTGACCCCAGCCAAACCACAACAAAAAATAGCAGGGCATTGTGGCAAGTGCCTGTAGTCCCAGATGCTCAGGAGGCTGAGGCAAGAGAATCGCCTAAGCCCAGTAGTTGGAGGTTGCTGTGAGCTGTGTGACGCTGCCACGGCACTCTACTGAGGGCAATAAGGTGAGACTCCTATCTCTGGAAAAAAGGGGGGTGGGGAATACAACTGAGACTTGAGAGACTTCACCAACTAGAGATGAAGTGGAGGCAGAGGAACTGTCAAAGCAGGCTGAGAAGTGTCTCCCAGACCCAAGACCACAGGGAGAACCAAGAACACACTTCCAGGAAAAGGCTGGTTGTCTAATGCTGCCAAGAGGTGAGGTGAAGGCAGGATGGAGACTCCTCTGGAGTTAGTGCTGAGGTCATTGGCAACGTTGAGGGATAGGAAACCACTGGTGGGCTGAGGAGGCAGCGGTAGTGACTGGGGACCCACTCATTCCAGAAGCTTGTTTGTACAGGGGTGTGGAGAGAGTGGTGTCATTAGTGGTGTTAAGCCATGGGGTACTGTGTCAGGGACTAGTGGTAGAGAAGGACAGAAATGGGCTGATGTGGCATCTATTTTGAGGGGACATTCAACAGAATTTGCTAATATAGTTTAGCATTAAATCCTTCTTATGATTACAAAGGAGGAAAACAGAAACCCATTAGGACACCCATCGTTGGAAATTTCGTGTCACCTTATAAACTTTTTTTTTTAAGAGTCTCACTTTATTGCCCTCAGTAGAGTGCCATAGCGGTACAGCTCACAGCAACCCCAACTCCTGGGTTTAGGCAATTCTCGTGCCTCAGCCTCCCAAGTAGCTGGGACTACGGGCGCCAGCAACAATGCCCGGCTATTTTTTGGTTGCAGTTTGGACGAAGCCGGATTCGAACCCGTCACTCTCGCTCGGTACATGGGGCCAGTGCCCTACCCACTGAGCCACAGGCGCCGTCTGTTACAAACTTTTTTTTATTGTAAATGTCAGAAAAGGCCATTTTTTAAAAACTGGGCATGCGGATACACAAAAAGGAAATTAAAATCACCCAGAATGCCACCACCCACAGATCATGAGCATGACATGTTGCTCTAGGATTTCTCCTCATGTGTATCATTTACTAACGTTGCATTCTGCCTTTTCATGAATTGCATTAGACCTGCCCCCACAGCCAGCACTTTCACTCAGGTCGCTGTCACTTCTTGCCTCCGTGCACAGCCCATTCTAAAATGCAAATCTGACTGGTTCACTGTCCTCTGTGAGACCCCTTCGGTTGGGCAACAAGAGCAGAGTACAGAGCAGTAGTCTTGGAGGCCAGAGGCCTACCCGAGGCGGCCACCGTCCTCCTCCCAATCACCACTGGGACGTCCATGCCACATCTTTCGGGGACATTTGGGCCCCGGGGAGACAGATGGCGCTATGCCGACGGCTCACCCAAAGGCCTCAAGTGAGCTTCCCAGGGACACAGAGGCAGGACTGCTTCACTCAGGCGCACTGGGGTCATAAGGCGCTCTAAGGGGTGGGGTTTCGTGAGGGATTGCTCATTGGCTAGGCAGTATGGGGTCTCCAGAAGACCGTGGCAGGCTTGGCTGGGTAAGAACCAATCTTGCCCGTTGTAATGACAAGGTGCCTGTTAGCGCTTGCGCAGTGGTAATCCCAAGTCGCCCTATAGGACTGACCCTTGTGAGGAAACCTCAATTTCCCCAGGACCCAAGGGCAGCAGGGCCAAATTGGAGGAAACCGACTAGGCACGGGGCGACCTTATTAGGGATCTGTTTGTGCAGGCGCCCTGGACTAGGGTCACGTGCTAAGGGGCAAACACTCCGGAGGAAACCTCAGTCTCTGGAGCTAACAGGGTCTCCAAAGTCCTCCGGCAAAGCTGGCTTGGCGGGAACTGAACACGCACCAGACAGCCTCACCATGGACCTGCGCAGACGAGTATGGGTGTGGCCACGCGCGAGGGGCGGTGCTTCTGGAGGGCACCACAGTCTCTAAGCCGCCCGCAGAGAGGGCGGGGTCGAAGCGGAGGGCGCAGCCAGCCAAAGCAGAGGGCGGAGTGAGCCGAAGCGGAGGGCGGAGTGAGCCGAAGCGCGGCTGGCTTGGTGTAGGGAGACATGCTGGCTGCAGACCCCAGCGCAGATGGAGACATGGAGGGTGTAGCGGCCGGCGCTGACGTCCGGGATGGCCAGGCTGGTACGGGCACCGCTGCACCTGTGGCCGGTGAAGCTCCCCATGTCGTGAGGGTACCGTACGACCCAGGTCCTAGCGGAGACGCCGTAGCCCCGTCCAGAAGGCCAGGAATTCAGCCGCACTTATTGTATCCTATCTGCGGGCAAAATCGGGCAGGAGCTGGGGGCTGCCTGCGGCGGGTGGAAGGGTAGGCCCAGGAGAAAGAAAAAGAGACCCAAGGTAGGGAGCAGGGGGAACTGGGGACTGGAGATACAGGCCCAGGGTGTTCAGGGGAAGTTAAGAAATGGAGAAAGGCAACCGGGGACGACTGGGGGTGAAGTACAAGCCAAGGATGGCCGAGACCAGATCAGGGGGGAAGGAATGAGATCAGGGATGAAGGACGGGATGGCCTGGGGGTGTGGAAACAGGCCTCTCGGAGGTGAAACTAGTTTGAGCCTCAGAAGGGACTAGACAGCTTCAGAGGAGCAAGGAGGCCAGAGACACAGGCAGAATTGGTATCAGATACTTTCTTTACCCAACCGCCACCAGCGCCCTCAGCGTACCTTTCCCGACCCCCTTGGAGGCGGAAATCGCCCATGGGTCACTGGCTCCTGATGTGGAACCCCACCAAAGAGCAGTTGGGAAGGATCTTACAGTGAGTGGCAGCATCCTGGCCGTGTAAGTTCTAAAACGGGCTGCAGTGAGGGGGAGAATGAAGGTGAAGGGCCAGTCTCCGTTGAGGGGCACTCTATTGAGGATGTGCAGATACCCAGTAAGGGGCAGGCGGGGTGCACCGGGCAGATCTCTACCTGAGGAGCTCTGTAATAATGGGACGCCAGAGGGTTGGTGTGATTACATGCCTGAAGAGCAGAGGAAGGAAGGCCACCTCCAACTAGATACTTTTTTCTTCACTCTTAGCCGCTGGAGAGCTGAAGACTCTCGTCTGCTCCGAATTTCCATCATGAACTTTCTTGACCAGCTTTCCCTGGTAGTGCAGACCATGCAGCGCTTTGGGCCCCCTGTTTCACGCTAAGCCTAGGCTGGGAAAAGGAGCTGAGGTCTGATCTCGTGTCTCCTACGAAGTGCATCCTTCCTTCCCATAGTGACTCCCACGGTACTTGCTACTTTAGGGTGGGGGCCTAATGGTTTGCCTGTATTGTATTGTATTGGCTCTTGGGTGCTCAGGGTCCACTTGTTTTGTTAGTTGCTTAAATGTTTGTTACTGCAGAAAATAAAATTGATCTACTATTCCAAGTCTCAGTTTATTTTCAGCTGCAGCACCTCCATTGCCATTGCCCTTGAGTTGCAGGGAAGGTTCTGGGTATCAGATATACAAATAGTACAAGTTAATTGAGGACAATTTAGGAAATGGAAAAGAATGACAATCTTTTGGGTCCTGCCATTCAGTATTAACTACTATCAACATTTTGAAGTACTTCCTCAATTGTACAATTGTATTTATGAATAAATGTGCAATAGTAATATATAATGAGTAATTTGTGCAAATTTACTATGAAATTTTTTCCTGATTGGCTGGGTGCAGTGGCTCACACCTGTAATCCTAGCACTTGAGAGGCCGAGATGGGTGGATTGCCTGAGCTCACAAGTTATAGACCAGCCTGAGCCAGAGCGAGACCTCGTCTCTAAAAAAATAGCCAGGTGTTGTGGTGGGTGCCTATAGTCCCAGCTACTTAGGAAGCTGAGACAGGAGGATCGCTTGAACCCGAGTTTGAGGTTGCTGTGGGCTAAGATGCTACAGCACTCTACTGAGGGCGACCAAGTGAGACTCTAGCTCAAAAAATAATAATAATAATAATAAGGCCTGGTGCAGTGGCTCACACCTGTAATCCTACCACTGCCACTCTGGGAGGCCGAGGTGGGTTGGTGGATTGCCTGAGCTCACAAGTTCCAGACCAGCCTGAGCCAGAGCAATCCCCCCATCTCTGAAAAACAGCTGGGCGTTGTGGTGGACACCTGTAGTCCCAGCTACTCTGGAGGCAAGAGAATCACTTAAGCCCAAGAATTTGAGGTTGCTGTGAGCTGTGACACTATGGCACTCTACTGAGGGCAAGAAAGTGAGTCTCAAAAAACAAAACTAAATACTTTTTTTTCCTGATTTTTTTTTTTGAGACAGAGCCTCAAGCTGTCCCCCTAGGTAGAGTGCCGTGGCATCACAGCTCACAGCAACCTCCAACTCCTGGGCTCAAGCGAGTCTCCTGCCTCCGCCTCCCAAGTAGCTGGGACCACAGGCACCCACCACAACACCTGGCTATTTTTTGGTTTCAGCCATCATTGTTGTTTAGCAGGCCTGGGCTGGATTTGAACCACCAGCTTAAGTGTATGTGGCTGGTGCCTTAGCCATTTGAGCCACAGGCGCCAAGCCTTTTTCCTGATTTTTAAAATCTAACATGAACTTTCCTTTTTCTAAAAATTATTCAAAAACATTGAATACACAAAAGATGTATTATAATGTGAGAGTTGAGCTCTAAATTGTTTCCAATTTTTGCCTGTTGCAGATAGTGATTCAATGGAATTCTTATATTTAAGCCTTTACATGAACTTCCCTAAGATAGATTTCAAGAGGTAGAATTACTGAGTGGAGGTGGCACCTGTGGCTCAAGGAATAGGGTGCCGGCTCCATATACCGGAGGTGGTGGGTTCAAACCCAGCCCTGGCCAAAAACTGCAAAAAATAAAAATAAAATGTAAAAAAAAAAAAGAATTACTGAGTGGAATATTTATTATTTACTTATTTAGGGCTCTTGATCTGTAGTACAAAATTGCTCACTAAAAAGTGTGTCTTCCTGGCTCAGTGCCTGTGGCTCAAGTGGCTAAGGCGCCAGCCACATATACCTGAGCTGGTAGGTTGGAATCCAGCCCAGGCCTGCCAAATAACAATGATGGCTGCAACCAAAAAATAGCTGGGTAATGTGGCGTGTGCCTGTAGTCCCAGCTACTTGGGAGGCAGAGGCAGGAGAATCACCCGAACCCAGGAGTTGGAGGTTTCTGTGAGCTGTGATGCTATGGCACTCTACCCAGGGCAACAGCCTGAGGCTCTGTCTCAAAAAAAAAAAAAAGGTGTCCTCCTACCAGAATGTTGCTTTCCCACATCTTTGTCAGTGTCTGCTTCCTGTCAAAATAAAAAACGTAGTATATGCTACTTGGGAGACTGAGGCAAGAGAAACTCGAGCCAAGGAGTTTGAGGTCGCTGTGAGCTATGACACCACGGCACTCTACCAGGGTGACAGAGTGAGATACTATCTCAAAAAAAAACAAACCATAGGGTACATGGGAATAATGAACAATCTAGAAACAAGCAATTTTGTGGCTTATCAGCCTGTGAAGAAAAGACCTATGAAGAAAAGTTCCAGGAAAACTAACTATAGCTTTTGGGGGAAGGAGTCCGCTCTCTGTAAAATCTGTTATGTTCCATAACCATGCTAAATTCAGTCTTGTATCTCTTTTATAGATACCATCAGATTTTCTCCATAGATGATAACTGTTTGCTCAGAATAAAGACATCTGTTTCTTCCAGACTGGACACCTTCAAGTGATTAATTTCTCTCTTCAGAATGGGTTGTATTTTCCTGCTTCTGTGTATCCCTGGTAGGTTGTTTTTTGTTTTGACATAGAGTCTCACTCTGACATCCTAGGTAGTGCTGCAGCGTCATAGCTCATAGCAACCTCAAACTCCCAAGTAGCTGGGACTACAGGTGCCCACCACAATGCCTGGATATTTTTAGAGATGGGGTTTCGCTCTTGCTCAGGCTGGTCTTAAACTTCTGAGCTCAAGCAATCCACCCACCTCAGCCTCCCAGAATGCTGGGATTACAGGTGTGAGCCCAGCCCTAGTGGCAATGGTCTTGATGATCACAAGGATGACAAGAGTGGTAGAGAATCTCAGCTCACGTGGCATCTGATTTGGCTGTGGCTGGGATCTTACTTGCTTTTTTCCCTCCCCCTTGCTCTCTTTCCTTTCTGTATTTTCCTATCTTTATTGATTCACAATTTTTAGACTTTACTGATAGTTAAGAAATTAGCCTTTTTGCAACACTGCAACACTACATACTCTGCTTCCCCTCCTCACTCTTTCATGCTTCTCTTAGATTCTGTTTCTGAGAGATTCCCCCATTAAAAAATTGCCTGCTCTCTTCATTTGGCTTAGCTTCGGTAATCTCACAATGGTGATAGTCTAAACTACCTGACTTGTCCTCTGTCAGGCTGATCCTGTCTAGGTTGACTGACTGACTACACAGCTGTCATCCTGGCACTTGACTTTGTCCTTGACGGGAATCTAGTCCTGCCACACCTGACTTGCTCTTCACTATTTTACTCCTTGTTTCTGTTTGTGTATTTGGTTGTTTTTTACCTCAGGCTTATCAACGCACAATTTAAGTGCTATAACCTTTATCAGGTGGTTAGGTGGACAGGTCTAGGGCAGCAGCCCCCAACCTTTTTGGCACCAGGGACTGGTTTCGTGGAAGACAATTTTTCCACTGATGGCGGAGTAGGGGATAGTTTTGCTATGAGACCACAAGGAATTGATGTATTACTGTCTCTGTAGTCATACTCCTCTGCTAGTGACAATCTGTATTTGTAGCTTCCCCCCCAGCACTGGCATCACCACCTTAGCTGCACCTCAGATCATCAGACATTAGATTCTCATAAGGAGAGCAGCCCAGATCCTTCTTGAGTGCAGTTTACAGTGGGGTACAGGCTCCTATGAGACTAATGCTGCCGCTGATCTGCAGGTGGAGCTCAGGTGGTGATGCCAGCAATGGGGAGTGGCTATAAATAGAGATGAAGCTTTGCTCACTTTCTGTGTGGCTTGGTTCCTAACAGGCCACAGACTGGTACCAGTCTGCAGCCCTGGAGTCCACAAGACTAGGGGTCCTGGGGACCACAACACTAGGGGTTTGGCAAACACATACCATGGTGTAACCACCACTACAATCAGCCATCTTGGCTCTATGGGTCAACTGCTGAAGCTTATGGCTTTAAAACCCAAGTTGGGTTGTGTCATGCTCTGTTCCAAACCATCCAATGGACTTCCCTCTCATTTCAAAGCCAAGTTCATACAGTGGCCTGCAAACCCAAAGTAACCTGGCCTCATCCACTCCCACTGCTGCCTTACTCCTCGGATCCAGCCACACAGGCCCATGACCCCTCACCTTTCTTTTTTCTTTTTTTTTTTTTTT